AATGATGTTTGCTGTGGGTTTGTCATATATGTCCTTTAGTATGTTGAGGAAGATTCCCTCTATGTCCACTTTCTGGAGAGTTTTTATCATAAATGGGTGCTGAATTTTGTCAAAAGCTTTTTCTACATGTATTGAGATGAGCATATGGTTTTTCTTCTTCAATTTGTTAATATGTTGTATCAGATTGATTGATTTCCATATACTGAAGAATCCTTGCATCCCTTGGATAAATCTCACTTGATCATGGTGTATGATCCTTTTAATGTGTTTTTGGATTCTGTTTGCTAGTATTTTGTTGAGGTTTTTTGCATATATATTCATGAGTGATATTGGTCTATAATTTTCTTTTTTTGTAGTATCTTTGTCTGGTTTTGGTATCAGGGTGATGGTGGCTTCATAGAATGAGTTTGGGAGTTTTCCTTCCTCTGCAATTTTTTGGAAGAGTTTGAGAAGGATAGGTGCTAGTTCTTCTCTAAATGTTTGATACAATTCACCTCTGAAGCCATCTGATCCTCGACTTTTGTTTGTTGGAAGATTTTTTATCACAGTTTCAACTTCATTACTTGTGATTGGTCTGTTCATGTTTTCTATTTCTTCCTGGCTAGGTCATGGAATGTTATACCTTTCTAAGAATTTGTCCATTTCTTCCAAGTTGTCCATTTTATTGGCACAGAGTTGCTTGTAGTAGTCTCTTAGGGTGCTTTGTATTTCTGCAGTTGTAATTTCTCCTTTTTCGTTTCTAATTTTACTGATTTGAGTCCTCTCCCTCTTTTTCTTGATGAGAATGGCTAATGGTTTATCAATTTTGTTTATCTTCTCAAAGAACCAGCTTTTAGTTTTATTGATCTCTGCTATTTTTTTCTTTGTTTCTATTTCATTTATTTCTGTTCTGTTCTTTGTGATTTCTTTCTTTCTACTAACTTTGGGTTTTGTTTGTTCTTCTTTCTCTAGTTCCTTTAGGTGTAAGGTTAGATTGTTTATTTGAGATGTTTGTTGTTTCTTCAGGTAGGCTGTATTGCTATAAACTTCCCTCTTAGAACTGTTTCTGCTGCATCCCATAGGTTTTGGATCGTCGTTTTTCATTGTCATTTGTCTCTAGGTATTTTTTGATTTCCTGTTTGATTTCTTCAGTGATCTCTTGGTTATTTAGCAACATATTGTTTAGTCTCCATGTCTTTGTGTTTTTTACGTTTTTTTCCCCTGTAATTGATTTCTAATCTCCTAGCCTTGTGGTCAGAAAAGATGTTTGATATGATTTCAATTTTCTTAAATTTACTGAGGCTTTATTTGTGACCCATGATGTGATCCATCCTGGAGAATGTTCTGTGAGCACTTGAGAAGAAAGTGTGATCTGCTGTTTTTGGATGGAATGTTCTATAAATATCAATTAAATCTACCTTGTCTATTATGTCATTTAAAGCTTGTGTTTCCTTATTAATTTTCTATTTGGATGATCTGTGCATTGGTGTAAGTGAGGTATTAAAGTTCCCCACTATTATTGTGTTACTGTCAATTTCCTTTTTTGTAGCTGTTAGCAGTTGCTTTATGTATTGAGGTGCTCCCATGTTGGGTGCATATATATTTATAATTGTTATGTCTTCTTCCTGGATTGATCCCTTCCTTGTCTCCTTCCTTCCTCCTTCCTCCTACCTCCAAGGAAGGTAGTCTCCTTCCTTGTCTCTTGTAACATTCTTTATTTTAAAGTCTATTTTATCTGATATGAGTATTGCTACACCAGCTTTCTTTTGATTTCCATTTGCATGGAATATCTTTTTCCATCTCCTCACTTTCAGTCTGCATGTGTCCCTAGGTCTGAAGTAGGTCTCTTGTAGACAGCATATGTATGGGTCTTATTTTTGTATCTCTTCAGCGAGCCTGTGTCTTTTGGGTAGAGCATTTAATCCACTCATGTTTAAGGTAATTATCGATATGTATGTTCCTATTACCATTTTCTTAATTGTTTTTGATTTGTTTTTGTAAGTCCTTTTCTTCTCTTGTGTTTCCCACTTAGAGAAGTTCCTTTAGCCTTTGTTGTAGAGCTGTTTGGTGGTGCTGAATTCTCTTAGCTTTTGCTTGTCTGTAAAGCTTTTGATTTCTCCATCAAATCTGAATGAGATCCTTTCCAGGCAGAGGAATGTTGGTTGTAGGTTCTTCCCTTTCATCACTTTAAATATGTCATACCACTCCCTTCTGGCTTGTAGAGTTTCTGCTGAGAAATCAGCTGTTAACCTTATGGGAGTTCTCTTTTATGTTATTTGCCATTTTTCCCTTGTTGCTTTCAATAATTTTTCTTTGTCTTTAATTTTTGCCAGTTTGATTACTCTGTGTCTCAGTGTGTTTCTCCTTGGGTTTATCCTGTATGGGACTCTCTGTGCTTCCTGGACTTGGGTGGCTATTTCCCTTCACGTGTTAGGGAAGTTTTTGAGTATAATCTCTTCAAATATTTTCTCTGGTCCTTTCTCTCTCTCTTCTCCTTTAGGGACCCCTATAATGCAAATGTTGTCACGTTTAATGTTGTCCCAGAGGTCTCTTAGGCTGTCTTTGTTTCTTTTCATTCTCTTTTTAAAATTCTGTCCCACAGCAGTGAATTCCACCATTCTGTCTTCCAGGTCACTTATCTGTTCTTCTGCCTCAGTTATTCTGCTATTGATTCCTTCTGGTGTAGTTTTCATTTCTGTTATTGCATTGTTCATCTCTGTTTGTTTGTTCTTTAATTTTTCTAGGTCTTTGTTAAACATTTCTTGCATTTTCTCGATGTTTGCCTCCATTCTTTTTCCAAGGTCCTGGATCATCTTCACTGTCATTATTCTGAATTCTTTTTCTGGAAGGTTGCCTATCTCCACTTCATTTACTTTTTTTTCTGGGTTTTTATCTTGCCCCTTCATCTGGTACATAGCCCTTTGCCTTTTCATCTTGTCTATCTTTATATGAATGTGATTTTTGTTCCACAGGCTGCAGGATTGTAGTTCTTCTTGCTTCTGCTGTCTGCCCTCTGGTGGAAGAGGCTATATAAGAGGCTTGTCAGCATTACCTGTCTCATGTTTTGTTTTGGGTTGTGTTGGGACTCACAGGACAGCCAAAGAATGTAACAGAATTGCTCCAGAGCCCAGTGGTGAGACACGACAGTGCTACTCGCACCTTCAAATCTGAGTGTCTGTGTTGAACAACTTCTTTCCTTGTACTGTCAGCTCATAGTGCTATTGGACACTACTTGTGAAATCCGATGGTATAAAAGTGACAGGAGATTTTTATGCCTGACTGACTCTTAGGACAAATGAGGAGGAAATAATTCTTAGCATTTCTAATAGGATTCACTGATGATTTTAGATGTGCTAGAAGATAAGTGGACAGGATAAGGAGCCACCATGGGGAGATGGGATAACTGACTGTGGCTATATAATTTAAATGAGCACGTGGTGAAAGGATTTATGTCTAGGTATATATTATCAGGCATAAAGTCATAGAGTTTATTTAATTTTCAATTTATACTACTAATGAAGTTCTCTATGATGCCGGTTACTAAAATTGTGTCAAATAAGTACAGATTCTGAACTGCATGAAAGGAAATACTATAATTACTGAACAGTAGATATATAATTGTTTATAGTCTTTAAGCATCACTTCAATTAAGGCATCATATTTGTTATGCTTTCTTTAGAATTTTGGTTAGTAATTTTTTAATCCTCCTTTTAAACTCACCATTTTTCTGAATTTTAAAAATGTTTCTGAATTTACTACACATTTTTTAAGTGTCCTCCATAGTCCAAAAGTTTTGGTATTCATAAAGCTCTGCAGGGTCATAGTCCAGTGACATATGTCTCAGGATCTGAGACTAAACATGGATGGGTGAGATTTTGACTTAGATTTTATTTCATTTTCTAATCTTTAGTTGGAATAGGTGCAAAAGGAATGTGCAATACACAAAAGAGGTAGCAAAAGAAGGAGGGAGACCCACACATAGATAAAAAGGTCAAGATTGGTCTATACAATTGAATATTGGAAGCCTTTGAAGGATCAAATCTTGTTTGACTATTAAAGTGTCATCCCTGGATATTATTCTATTTGATACTAAACTCATGGAAACTTTACAGACAAATATTCATATCAGCTGATAGCCAATTTCTCTAGTCAATCCTTTGAAATGTATAAGCATAGTGCTCTAAGATTAGTTGGTTGGTTTGTTTTCTATCTTACTTCTGCTGACTAGATTCCTTCATTGGAGCACTTTTTCCTTAAAAGCCACATAAAGATTCTCAAATAATATTTTCATAAGGACTACATACTGATAATAACACCCACTTTCTAAATCAACTTTCATCTTCATTCTACAAGACAATGACTTTCAGAATAAATAAAAATATAGTCCTAAGTGGCATTATTTACTTGTCCCAGAGTCAAAAGTTGAATCGTCCACTATGCAAATTTGGTCATGGCCAATGTTCCTACATGTCAGGGATAACATCGTAAGTTTCTTTGTACAGAACGGTCAGTGGGTTACTATAGTGAGCGTGATCTCTGCAATTTTAGTGTCAGAGATCTTTATGATTCTAAGTACCCCATGTGTGGCTATTAAAGGTAAAATAAACAGCAGGGGTATGGTTCCAATTGCCTAGTAAACAATCATAGAAAGATGTTTATTAAAGCTGACTCTCAAGTGACAGATAAATGCACAGTTCTATTATGTATGCTAAATTTAACATGCTGCAAGCTTAAAAGCAGATAGATCAAAACAATAGAGGTTTTAAAAAATCATAAAGACAAAATACAGCTATGTCAGTATGTGACATAGGAAAATAATTTTGCCTTAAAAGTGATCTTCCCCAACCCCCTCAAGGAATATGTAACCACAATTTATGGAACAAAATTAAAGCAAGTTGGGAGCATTCCATTTCTTAGCCTGCTTGGCTCTGAGTTAAAAAAAAAAAATTAATGAACTGTTGTTAAACTAAGATACAATTGATCTCTTCTACTATAAACAAAAAACTACAATACATAATTACTGATGTATAATTCTGATTTATTAATGTGTGATGTTTAGTTCTTAAAAAAAGAAAACAAAAACAACAAAACACACACAAAACAAGCCAGTAAACAGACTCTTTCATGCACATCCTTTTTTCTACCTTACATAGTTCCACAGCATGATTTTTTAGAGGAGTTCCCTTGCTCAGGGTTGGCATATGTTTTTCAATTTTCACTGTCAACAACCATATTTACAGAAAGATGTACAAATATTGTGAATGGTAGGCTGTGCAACCCTCACATAATTAAAACTTCAGTTTCTTGGTTTTCTAGGGCTTTGTGTAAATGCCAATAAATTTGAGAGTTCACCTAACTGTGCATCTTAACCTTTGTTCCCAAAGGTGAAGGGCAGGATTTTTAATCAGGTAGCAATTTACCTTAATTGGGAAAACATAATTAGGTATTATTATCTAATTGCAATTACTGGTTGGAGAAAGTCACATTTCACAAGTAGTGACCCATGATGGATTATCACTCTCCTATTACTGAATTCTGCATCTGTATTTGTGTTTGGCAGACAGCCAATAAAAATTCAAAGGTAATCACAATGCTTCTCTGCAGTCCAGCTGTCAAAGTCACCAACTCCGCTGCGGAATAAGAAACCGAGACATACTTCCTGAGCCACATCTTGGCTATATCTGTTTCCTGCTCAGACATCAAGTGGAGATCAAAATAATTGTATAAAAAAAACCCCATGTGAAGCAGGTTAGAGAACGGTTCCATACTTCGTTTCTGGTACAGTTAAAAAGTTTAATGTCTCAAGGCACCACTATGGTTTAACATCAGATACATGGGTAACCAGCTAATCTACTAGGCTGTAAAGTCAGTAAGTAGCTTGTACAACTGTGAAAAAGCAATCTCTAGAGGACTGTTAGATATACTGTAGGCACAGGTATCATAATACAAATAGAAAACAATGAGTCCTAGAAAAAGCATGTTGAGCACCGTTGTGGCATCATTTGTATTTCTTTACCTAACGCTATGTAAACCTTAACATTTACAAAAGGAAAGACTAACTTTTGAAAGTTACACCCAGGGTTGCTCTTTGTGCTATCCCCCAATAATCGGTTCTAGTTCGTTGGTGTACTTTTAGAAGTCGTTGGATCTGGGTCTCCTCCCCCTGTGGCGCTGGTCGATTCATTTAAGTGCGAGCTCAAGTTCTCCGACGTTAGGTGGGAAGACTTGTAGACGATCTCATTGAAGTCAGACCTGATGCACACCAAGGGGGGGTCATTCAACGGGTCTTCCACTGAGGCCTGGGTGTTTTCTCGCGTGATTCCCATGTCCTTGCTTTGTTCTGATGGGGATTTTCTTTTCATGCGTGTGTAAGTATTGTCTTGATTCTCCATGCCTTGCTCATTTTTCAAAAACCGTCCAAAGAACCAAATGAAGAATCCAAACCACACAAAAGCTATCAGACTTGGCACAAAAGCCAGACACTTGACATCAAGGCTTGCCCCTATGAACCTGCTGTGTAAGAACATGTCTCCCTCAACATAGGTTTTATTAGTCTGAGGGTTGGTGTGATTGGACCGCCATTCCCAGGATAGCTTGGTTCTGTTCAAATCCTTTAGACTCTCTGAGTCTTTCACTGTATATATCTTCTGCCCTGGGCCAATATACTGTCCATATTCATGAGGCTTATAAAATATCTGATTCTTCCACATATTAAGATCCAAAATCAAGACGAGAAAGATAATCCCATAGTTAAACCATTTACCTGCATTAAAAAAGAAATACTGCATATTAGTCAAAGACCTATAAAACTGCAATAGAGTTTTCTCCTACAAAATGGAGATACTGGTATTATAGCATAAATTGCTAATATTTTAGACCTGCTAAAAATTTTTTGAGAGTGTTATGCTGCCATTAAGTGAATTGGCAATGGGGATTTCCTAAATGGATTCTAGGCATGTGAAAATGTAACTGTAGATCCCAGAGCCAGAAATTTATGGTAACTACACTTTCTAAATTAAGTCTCCTGGTTTTTAAGGCACCACAGTTATACTCAAATTTGGTTCCATGTAGGTTATTCTATAGAACAATTTAATTAAGGTTTAAAAACAAAGTTCTGATGAAATTCTTAAGAAAAGTCCAACGTATGATTGACTATCTCTTACAGTTTTATAATTAAGCCAGGGAAAGAAATAAATCATTTTGCAGTGCAAGCACAGCAGTATATCAATTGAATTCACATTGCTCTTTGTAGGTGACCTGTTGATTAAACTATTAGTTGATGTGATTCAGATCAATAATCCTTGAGCATTCATTTCAAGACTTTAAAAATAATTGCATCAAATTCTCATTGAACAGAATCCATTTATCAGACATATAAATATAACCATAGCTGTAGAAGACATGATTTGGAGAGACTGTAATTATTATGACTTCTTTGTAGTATTTAAAAATCTTACATAAATAAGGTATTATTTAGAGACATACTACCTAGTGAAACCTTTGCATCTTTAAATGGAAAGAATGTTGAAAAAATTTCAAGGGATACTAGATTCCATTATAATTTTTATTATAATTTATTCCAAGTTTTAGTGTGTCATAATAATATAGTAATACTCAGCTCATAGTTTTGCAAAATTATGTGATATTTATAACAGGTTCTAAAAGTTTTAGTTATAATTATATGTGTTATGTCAAAATTATTTTATTTTGTATTTAAAAATAGTGATAGTGAACATTATTAAGTTACTGCTTCACATGAGAGATAGGATCTTGGGCAAACTTCTTAAACTAAGATTGGTAAAAATGTATTTTTAAATATGTACTCCAATAGAACACATAGCTCTATAAAAATATAACTTTGTAAGGAGTTTAAGAAAGTATTTTATCATCGTCATTACACATTTTCAATCTCCTATTATATGCAAGGTTGAAGAACTTTAATCCGGGACTGGCTCCCAAACCTACTGGCTATGTGACCTTGGGTTAGTTGTTTAACTTCTCTAAACTCCAATTTCTTTACAAGCAGAAAATAACAGTATTTATTAAGCTGTTAGCATTTCATGAGATTATTAGATAGTAAGCACAATGCCTGGTACATAATAGGAACTCAGTAATTGTTACTATTATTATCATCAAAGCCTTGCCTAAGTCATGATAATGTCTTCATTTGCATGGGAAGGTGCAACTTCTTCTCTATGAAGAGAATTTATATAAATCATATGAAGGGAAATTATAACTCTGCCTGTCCTGAAATCATTCAACTATACAGGGTTTATAATATTTGTAATGGAAGCTCTTGCCTGAATGATTTATTTGGCACACCCAAACTGCAAAGTACGATAGAACATTGGAAACTTTTCCAGATATGATAAAATGTTTATAACATCTGGTACTGTTAAGTTCAAACCACCCCTGCCCTCTTGAATCTTCAAAACGAAAACAGAATCAACCATACAACAAATTAAGAAAGCTCAAGCCAGAGAAATTCAAATACAAAGGTTAGCGTCATTACCAAACATTTACTGTGCTCAGAATAGACTCTGTGGAGGGTACCTTAGTAGATGCTGAAGACATATGCTACTGCCTTCTAGGAAGGAACTCATCATCTTATGGGGGAAATAGGAAACAGACATCAACAGATAAATAATAATAAGAGGCCACATTTAAGAGGTGCCAAAGGAGTGATACAAACCATTAATGCTGCAGATATTGAGAAAACGGAATAAAAACTGAGGGCTAATTTCTGCAGAAAAGATTTTGCAGGAAATAGCAATTCATGTGGTCCCAGAAAGAAAAGCAAGACAGGGAACGGTTTGGAAAATGTTATGTTTCTTTCTAGTATATGCTTTTTTTTTGCTGCAGATAGAATAACATACAGAAAAAGATCAGGTAATGTGGAAGAGAGGGTCTGAGGGGAGAGAGAAGGGAAAGAATGGAGAATATCATAGGAAAAAAGGCCAACCAGAATGAGAGACAGGTGATATATAAAAGTTCAGGGATTATCATTCAGTATCTCGGAGGAATAATTTGTAGCTTCTGTGATAGAAGCAGTTGGGAGAGGGGCTTTGGATACTTCTTTGCTGTAGAAGATCCATACTTATTCCCTTGTTGTAACCTACACGGGTTATAAAGCCAGACTGGATGGTGAGGGGAAGAGGTCCTTGGACTTGTGTGACTGACCATCACCTTCTTGACTCATAAAGGTCCCTTGGAAAAATGTGTATCCTCTCTTAGTCACTTTTATAAACTCATGAACAGAGCAGTCCTTCATAAAGGGTCCTGTTTCCAGGGTAATGACGTCAGAAACTGAACATTAACAGCATCGTGGAATCAGCGAGGAAAAAGAGGAATGCTCATGGAGCTTGGAGAAGGGTGCTTTCCTGGTGGGGAGAAGATGCTCAGGGAATGTTTAATAGTCAAAGGAAAAAAATAAAACCAGAGAATAAAAGTGATAGTGAATGTACAGCGATCAAACTGAAGGAACCCTGAGGACAGAAGGGGATTTTTTCCATTTTTTCAAATTATTTTCTCTACCCAAGTTGAATGGTGCTGGGTCAGTTTGACCACTAAACTGTCACACTAAAGGATCACATTATGTTGCTTCTCACATGACCTGGTGTCTGAATATTTAGATAGGACGAAGGAGACATGCATTAAGAATGTGTTGCCTGACAGGGATACCATCACCCTGCTCTAACACATCTTTACTGATTTGTGAGAGAGAGTACCATAGTGACAAAAACTGCAGGCTGGACATCAGCAGATGGAGATCTAATACTCATCTTAAATAATACAACCTTGGGTAACTTGTTTAACCTCTCCAGATCTCAGCAATTTTATTTTCAAATTGAGGAAACAGAACTAGATGCCTCCCAGTTCTATGATTCTGTCCTCTTCCCCCAAATCCTTCTACTTATTAACTATTCAATTTTTTGTTCTATGAAATGGAGAATAATACCAACATACCCACTTCAAAGGATTATTGTTAGGATAAAATGAGAGGTTATATTTAAAAGTTCTCTGAAATGTATTGTTTGCCAAAAATGTAGGGTAGTGTTATTTCTGCCATTTCTTCCTTCTACTTCTTCAATCCAGTTAATACAAGATCTTAGTGATAGAAAAGAGAGAGAGAAGAGTGTGTAAGGATTTGTAACAAAGATATATCCTAAATGTTTCAGTTTGGATAAAACAGAATAAATTACTAAGCACTGACATTACTGGGTAGATATCACTGGACTAATTATCCAAGAGGATCCAGTGTATAGTTATATATAAATATGCTTTCTGAATCACCATATTTAACTTGTTAAAAATCCTTAGCAACTGTAATTTGTCTACAGCTTGCAGTAGTATTAGTCCAGAGACAAGGTCTTTTATACACACAAATTTGGAAGCAGATAGATTCTTCCCTCCTCTGCAGACAGATCGTGTTGGGAGGTGGGGAAGTGCAGAGAGGAGAGAATCAACTGAAACAGGATCCCTATTGATTTATTTCCTTTTCTCCTCTGTGAAGGTAGCATTGTCCTTCCCCCCACTGCTGTAGCCACTCAGTCGAAACTTGGAACAGCTGAAAATATAGAAGAAATGGCTCTTCTTACTTTTTGTTTGTTTCCTGCCCACCTGACATAACTTCTGGTCCATTTATCCATTTGTACAAGGAAGGATGTTCATCTTTCTCTATCATCCATTCTCCTATTTTCCTATACAGTGTTTTATTACTTTGGTAATACTCTCTCCTCTTTAAAAACAGTTTTCTGAGATGCAGCAAACTAGAAAGCAAAATCAGGTGGGACAACTCAACCTTAGTGTTCTTGTCTATAAAGTGAAGGAGTTGAGCCATATAATCCTTGAGATTTCTTCCCTGTCCTAAAAGTCTCTTTGATGATTCTGTGAAATAAACATCACCTAAATCTCAGTGTTTTATGATGGACCAGAAAATTCTCACCATTAGAGCAAAAAAGATGCAATACACAATTTTCAGATGCAGAAAGCTTTCCTTAAAAAAAAGATTGTATATTCTGAGAAACAGTTTGCCATAAAAAGATAATTTTGAGTCCCTGAAATGACACACATGACAAGGTATAAGACACAAAAGGCTAAAAAAAAAAAATGGGCTTCCCTGGTGGTGCAGTGGTTGAGAGTCCGCCTGCCGATGCAGGGGACAGGCGTTCATGCCCTGGTCCGGGAAGATCCCACATGCCGTGGAGCGGCTGGACCCGTGAGCCATGGCCGCTGAGCCTGCGCGTCCGGAGCCTGTGCTCCACAACGGGAAAGGCCACAACAGTGAGAGGCCCGCGTACCGCAAAAAAAAAAAAAAAAGACTAGAAGTGCTTCTACTGTCATTTTTCCATGTGTGTTGTTGTGAACCGACAATCAACCATAACAAGAGGCTTGGTATTTTGGCATTTATCACATGAGAGATTTTGCATTTTCCCCTGCTGTTTCAACTACATAGCATTTTCCCCTGCTGTTTCAACTACATAGCATGATGTAATCAGCAAGGAGGAAGGGTAGTAATCCATACATTATTTCTATTAATCTCCTTCTCGAAATACCTCATTGTCTCCTTTAACGAGCAATCCCTGCATGGTGTTGGTGGGATTACCTCTTTCTTGTGTTTTGTGCTTTTAATGAATCTTACTGATTGTTAAAAATGATATTACAGTGGTAGTTTTATCATTTTACTTTGTGGGAGTCTATAGTTAATTTTAAAAGAATTTTAAAAGAATTTTAAAAGAATGGGCTAGTTAATTTTAAAAGAAT